AGGTTAGGTAATGAAACGAGAGGAAGCAGGTATTGGGAAAAAGAAGAAAATAAGAGATGCAGAAAGTGTATGAAAGAGGAAGAAAATTGGAAGCACATGGTAGAAAAATGTGAAAAAAGCAGAAAGGAAGGGGAAGAATGGGAAAAAATAATAATAGGAAGCAAAGAAAAGATAGCGTGGATGATGGAGATAAAATGGAAAAGAAGAAGAAATGAAGAGAAGAAAGAAAAAGAAAAGCAAGAAGACGAAGCTACAAGACCCTAAGGAGAGACGGAAACAGAAGACAGAGAAGCAAGACTCGCAGACACATCTACACACACATACATACACACACATACACACAAAACACAAACATACGCGCAAACATAAACATACAGATGCACACACACACACAAGACACAAGTAAAAGCAACTACACAAACGAGAGGAAGCAGGTATTGGAGGATGGAGCAAAATGGAAAAGAAGAAGAATCGAAGAAGAGAAAGAAAAAGGTAAACTAGAAGGCATATCATAAGATACTAAGGAAAAATAAGTGAGGTTGAGGAAAGGAAAGGCAGAGGGAGCAATAGGAAACAAGAAAAAGGTATCAATGCCTTAATAACGAGAAAGATAGATGAAATGATTAGCAAGAAGGAGAGCAAAAGCAAAGGAAAGGCAAAGGTGAAAAGGCAAAAGAAAGTAATAAAGGAAAAGCTGAAAAGAAAACAGAAGAGCGGAAAAGGCAGATCTTGGAGAGAGAAAGAGGAAGAGAAGATAAATCAGAAGAAAAATGAGAAGAAAAGAGGAACAGGCAGGCGCAGAAGACAGGGACACAAGAGTTGCAGACACGCCTACAAAGGCACATATTTACATAACACATACACACACACGCACGCGCGCACTCACACACACACACAAAACACATACATAATCAACTACACAAACTGGATACGAGACACAAATAGAAATTTAAGAAATGTAAACCAAATGTAACATATAAGTTGTAAATAAATAAACTAACTAACAAACCCTAATTGTAACAGTTAATAAACCCCGTTACAAAATATAAAACTATTGCAACTTTTGTGCAAAAATACGTTATAAATATTGAGGTACATATAATCATATTATCAGATATACCCACTCATATCACTGAGTATAAGATGAATAGGAGGATAACGAACACTAAAAAATATCTTTATGCTTGTGATATTAATATCACCTATTATTTATAATATTGTTCGTACTCTCGTGGTCTGTCACGTTAATGAGTAAGAATTCGTTTTAACTTTGAAAACGCTTATGGATATTAAGTTTGTTTTGTCTATATTGATGTATAGCTCTTGAATTGAACATCTAATAAATAGATATTTTCACTAATTCACTCAATGCATTACAAACTTTGAATAACCCAAAAAAATGTCAATATAAACCATATTACACTGCCCGACAATCACTTTTGCAATGCTTACCTCAAAATTAGGCAAACTTGAAAGTTTTGTATCTCGGTCGGAAATCATTGTATCACAAAATACCGCAGGGTATTTTAAACGTAATTGCAAAAGCTTCCATTTAAGACGTGCAGAGACTTAAAAATGAAAATATGTGTTTTTTACAGTAAAAAATCAGATTAAAAAAATTTCAATTTTTTTAACCTCGACTTAAATCAATGCCAATTTAGAACCAGGCGGTGGAGGGCAAATCGACCTGAGGAGTTCGGAGGGTAATGTCTTTCCCTTTAAAATGAGTTCCCGCGGGGTTCTATCCGATGTTTTTTAACCGAGTTACGGCCTTTTTTGTAAAAAGCAACCTTTTTTTCCAATCCTCAATTACTTCGACTTGCGTACGTTTTGGAAAAAAATGCCAAAGAGAAAAAAGTTTCATTTTGTGTCCAAGAATGCGAAAATAAAGTCAAAATAAAGAAATGGAGAAAAACTTTTTTTTCGGTTTTTTAGCGCATTAAAAAAATAAAGGAATTTAACTTTTTTTTACCAAAAAAAAGTTTTTTAAGTTTTAGTTTTTTTGTGATTTACTACGACCCTAGACATTTTAAAACTAAGCGTAAAAAAAAAGTTAAATTCCTTTATTTTTTTACTGCGCTAAAAAACCGAAAAAAAAGTTTTTCTCCATTTCTTTATTTTGACTTTATTTTCGTATTGTTGGACACAAAATGAAACTTTTTTCTCTTTGGCATTTTTTTCCAAAACGTACGCAAGTCGAAGTAATTGAGGATTGGAAAAAAAGGTTGCTTTTTACAAAAAAGGCCGTAACTCGGTTAAAAAACATCGGATAGAACCCCGCAGGAGCTCATTTTAAAGGGAAAGACATTACCCTCCGAACCCCTCAGGTCGATTTGCCCTCCACCGACTGGTTCTAAATTGGCATTGATTTAAGTCGAGGTTAAAAAAATTGAAATTTTTTTAATCAGTTTTTTTACTGTAAAAAACACATATTTTCATTTTTAAGTCTCTGCACGTCTTAAATGGAAGCTTTTGCAATTACGTTCAAAATGCCCTGCGGTTTTTTGTGATACGATGATTTCCGACCGAGATACAAAACTTTCAAGTTTGCCTAATTTTGAGGTAAGCATGGCAAAAGTGATTGACGGGCAGTGTATATTAGAAATTAAGAATAAATATACATCACTAACAACTGAGTGATCTTCAACAATAAGGACTATTCTATTCAATGACTTCAAGCCATTTTTCAAAGAATTGTCAGCAAATAAATATAATCAAAATGGATAGTTTAATGAAAGGATAAAACTATATTTAAATGAACTATAACAAATCGACTGCATCATAATTTGCAAAATACTCTCTTTGACAAGACTTTATAATAACGTTATGTAGATGCCAAAGCAATCACAATAGCTTAAAAAAGTCACTTATAAAAAAGGAGTACTATCAGACACCAAATGAAATGGCGATTACGAGATACAAAACCTGGATCATATAATTTAGCATTGTTCCATCTATGACAGATGGAAAAAATTAATCAAAATATTGATTAAAACAAACGATACCTCTCACTATACAGTTGCGGGCAAAAGTGTCCGGCCAAAGTTGTTTTTATGTTTTGATCATGTATAAATGATGCAAAGTAGCAACACAAACATATCTTAGTAAAGTACTTTTATTATGCATTCATATCATGTTGTCCAACAATTTGTTATAATGCTTAACAAAATTTTATATCGATAATAGAAAATATTCATAAGTATCCGCCCAACTATTACGTAGATACAATTCGCGTGGCTTTGTTTACATTATCGGTCACAAAAGTATGTAAGCGCTGGAACTGTGTATCAGTTATGCTCTGACATCAGTATCAATCGGTAAACATGCCGAAACGCACGTCTGTAGATATTCGACAAGTCGTAATTAAATTACACAATGAAGGAAAGGTTTCTCGTGATATATCTAAAATTCTAGGCATAGGAAAATCGACTGTGAATGATATAATTATTAGATTCCACAGCACTAACACTCTAAAAGATAAAAAAAGTTCTGGGAGACCAAGAAAAACCCCTAAACGTATTGACAAATTGATCAAAAGAAAAGCTGTCGTAGATGTTAAAAGGAATGCTGCCATTATTGCACGCGAATTACGCGAAGAAAATGTAGCAGACGTCAGTCGTAGTACTGTATCACGTAGACTGAGAGAAGTGGGATTTGTTGGACGTGTTAGTGTGAAAAAACCACTTATTAGTAAGAAAAACAAGAAGGCCAGACTAGAATTAGCTAAAAAATATGAAAGCTATACTGTTGAGGACTGGAAAAAAGTGCTGTTTTCGGATGAAACTAAAATCAATCTATTTGGAAATGATGGTAGAAGGTATGTGCGGCGACCGGTAGGTAGTAAAATTGATTCAAGATACCAAATACGGACTGTGAAGTATGGTGGAGGTAGCATAATGCTATGGGGTGCATTTTCATGGAAAGGCGTCGGTCCAATCTTTAAAATAGAAGGCAATATGGATTCTGTCATGTACAAGGATATTATATTGGAGCAAATGCTACCTTATGCTCGACAAAACATGCCCAGAGGATGGATATTTCAGCAGGATAATGATCCAAAACACAGGTCACACCTCCTTCAGCAAGTTTTTAGTAAGAAAAAAATTCGAGTTTTACAGTGGCCGAGTCAGTCTCCAGACTTAAATCCTATTGAACACTTATGGCAAGAGCTAAAAATGAGATTAGGAAATCAAAACTATGCTAATAAAGCCTCCCTATGGCAAAAAGTGCAAGAAGAGTGGAACAATATCTCTCATGATAGGATTGTGACACTTATTGAATCGATGCCTCACCGATGTGCTGCCGTGATAGCTTCTAAGGGTATGGCTACGAAGTTCTGATGACTGCGTTACATTTAAAACCATTTCTAGTTTGTTTTGTTTCATGTTACTATAATTTTTCTACTTGTAATTGCCATATTCATAGTTGGCCGGATACTTATGAATAAGCCATAATTGTTATTATCAATATTAAATTTTGTTGATTGTTAAAATGAATTGTTAAATTATATGTTTTGAGTATATAATAAAAGTACTTTACGATGATGTATTTGTGTTGCCACTTTGCACCCTTTGTACATGATTAAAACATAAAAACAACTTTGGCCGGACACTTTTGCCCGCAACTGTAAATATAAATATTTCTTGGGTTAGCCAAACATAAAAGATATGTAAATGGTAAATGGCAAATGCAAATTGTATTTCATATAATTATAATTATTAAACAATAATTATTGTGTTATTATCCAATATATTTGATATTAATAATCTATGTGAATATAATCTTCTTTCAACTAGATAGCAATTGAAAATTTACTATATATAACATATTTATATTATAAATGATAAATATTTCTAATGATGAAATGGATATCCCTTGCAAGATTTTGTCCAGTCTCTCACTTGGGCTACCATGTGAGTAACTGAATGGAATTTCATCCGGAACCCCCAGATTTCCACATATTATTTATGAAGTAAAAAAATTTGTATTAAATAACGAACCAAATTTGGGCCAGTGCCGATTGAGACAGTCCACTTTGAAAAAAAATGTCTTTTATTTCCAATCCAGATACAAAACCATCACAATCTACATCAGCTTGTATAAACAATTTCTCTGCAGCCTTCTGATCATCTTCAGATACTACCCACTGTAATAAAATTTATATTGAATTAAATTATATTAAACAAGGACAAGTCATGAAGTAGTATAGATATAGATATATATATAATTTACAATGATAGCTCATTGAAATATATATCATCTATACTTTTATTTAGAAAAACTACTAATATATTTTCTTAATTATTATTGCGTAATCATATATAATATAAATATAGTAAAGTAAAAAGTACATATTTTTGTATTATTACTATGTTTAACCTATGAATAACGCTAAATCTTTCGTGTACAAAAAGTTGTTTAAGCTAAAAGCTTCCAACTTAAAACTTCTTACAAATGTGCGGAAAGAGAATATATAGTGTTTGTATAAGAAAGAGAGAGAGAGAGCGAAGAAACGAGTTAGATATACTTCTGTGGACAATGTAGGCCAGTTAGAACGTGACGGATGCTCGAAAGCAACGTGGCATAGTAGCACACGTGAGAGTACATTTAACATGCACTTATATCTGTGAATGAGTGAGATAGCGAAAAAAAAAATAGGGACAGATCACATGAATAGCTTGAGCGACTAGGAAGTCACGTACAAACCTTTAAACAGATTGCATTATATTTGTACCGATTATACCTTACACTTATAATAATTAGAACAATTTATTTGATTTAATTACTAGTATAATATCGAATGTAATTTGTTATTCTATTGGATAAAACTTGTTCATTGAAAATTGGACAAATATCTTTGAACGCATATACTAACGCGACATGATTAGGAGAAAATCGAATCATAGCATATAAAATCCAAACCAGTGATCGATAATCAGGACGTTAGGAATACAGTACTGTTACTTCCTGATGACTATAAGTCATCGCCAAATGTATAATATCGAAGTTTAGAGGTCGGACTACAGACTGCATTCATAGGCAGACAATAAAAACGGTGGATGAACTAATCAAGACTTCATAAGACAGGTTTTACAATTGTAAGAAGTCCGCTTACTATGATTCTAGAAACATGCGTTAAAAATGAATGAAATATATTGGTACTGTGAGGGACTTCCGTGACATACTGTGTCATGCCATATCATTGATATTCCATAACCGTATCAATATATTCCTAAGCTGCACGAAACATGCGCAAAGGGATGAGTTAGATGTGAGATACAACGAAGTCATGAAGACGCCATTGAGAACTGCAATAGTTAGAATTTTTGTGAATATGTTGCGTAATGATTGTAAATCTAATGGGCTTTAAATAACTTACTATTTTTTTATTTTTTCACATAATGACATGGAATCTAAACGAGTCAAAAAAAATATTTTTTAAATTCTTCAACTTTGATACACTGATACAGAAATTAATGTACATGCCTTCTAATATACATAGGCTGAAAGATAGGAGTGTAGACATCCTAAGCTTAAAAATGAGCCATCAAACGTCTTAATCGGATGCATAATTTTTGGTTGCAGTGGTGATCCCGTTGACTTGGAACGTCCGATATATATATATATATATATACATACATACAGGGTGAATAATTATTATCGACTCACTTAATTTTCTGGATTAATGAGTATTTTCTCGAAAAAAGTGTCAGACTAGTTAATTTGGGGGGAGGGGTCGTGTTTTTGTAACCTTGGATTTGACCTTGAACATGATTCGTCTAGGACATCTCAAGGTTGATGTTTTTTTTAATCAGAACCCCTATTCTTTATCACAGATTCGAATTCTACGTGAAATCCTACATTTAGAAAATGTAACATGTTTGGGTTTCGGATACCCCAAGGTCATTCCAGGGCCAACGTTTTTTTTAAATGAAAACCCCCATTTTTTTCTCGTGAATTCAGATTCTACGATACATTTTACGTTCAGATGATTAAACATATGTAAGCTTCCTTGCCTCTCTTTGGGTTGCTTTCTTACCTAAGTCTCCGTGTCTCTCACTAGGGTGCATTTTTACCGCGAGTTCCCTTGGCTCTCACTGTATCCACGAAGTCGCTGTTCCGAGTTATCCAAACGCGTTTGGAAATTCTTAACCGTTCTCAGCAACGTTGCCATAGAAAAAACTCTGCAAGCTTGGCGAATACGAACTATCATATCCTTTCTCGTTGTTGGCCGTTGTGCACAAATAACATTCTTGAGATATCCTCACAAAAAAATCTAGCGATCTGAAATTTGGTAAACAAGCTGGTTAGTTAACTGAACCTTTTCATCTGAGCCATTTTTTCTCATAGTCACGTGCAAAAAGTTACAAACATCTCGCGCGAAGTGAGGTGTTGCACTATCCTGCTGGAACCACATTCTTTTTGTTATTTCCAAATCAAGATCTTCTAATATTTCTAGAAATCGATCTCATATTAACTTTAAATAGGTATTCGTAACGTTTCTTTCAATAAAAGAAAGTCCGATGAAATAACCGTTTACGATGCCACACCATACTATGAGACTCCACCGGTGTTATCGATCGGCTGTTTTGTGCCAAATGGGATTAGTATCTGACCAATAATGAGAGTTATGTCTTTTTAATTGACCATCATTGCAAAATCTAGCCTCATCAGAAAAAAGTACAATTCTGTAAAATTCAGGATTTTTTTGTATCATTCTAAAAGGTATTCATATGGTAAGCATGATATCGAAGTCTAAAGAATATACAAAGCTGTTGTTCTAAGTACACTAATTTATCTTCCTATTTTCCTGCTGCTGATTTATGAATTCAGATGTACAGCCGCTAGAACAGTTATTATGAAAGCATCCATTTTATCAATGCCAAAGCGCCTACATCGATAGCCAATGGTTGATTTTGAGCTCGTTGAATCCATCTCTATAAAGTTGTGTTTTCAGGATGCTTTTTTTTATTTAATAAACTTTTTTTTCTATTTAATAAACATTCTGCATAAAGTCTTGCTACTGCTCTGTAACTATTACGACTCTCTCCTGAGATTAGAATTATATCATAAATTTCTTCGGGAGGATAATCAACCAAGAAGAAATGAACGACCAGTTACCTCAACTCAAATTGCGCATAGATAATCCAGGCTCACGAAAGCCGGCAGAGAATCTCCGGCTAACTGGAAACTACCAACAGAATTCGCAACATTGATCCAGGACTTAATCTTCCGAATAAGAAACTTCAAAAAATCGCAGGATCTACTAGCAACATTCAACGAATACGTAAGCGATATAACACTACTGTTAACTACAATGTGCAAAACCAATGAAGCGATGAAGTCGTAATTAGATAGTATAAAGGAACACTTGTCGGTAGCGGAACAAGAAATTGAAGAACTGAAGCTACCACACATGTAAGCACTATGAATCCAACAGAATTGGCTAGATCGGAGTGACTTGACATGACATTTCAAGACACTTTAACGTGTCATTACAACCAGCAACTGCCGCAAAGTACTTCTATAGCCATTTGCCCACAGCCCAAGCAAGCCGACTCCACCATCCTAGTGACGAGTTTTCTCCAAGGAGGCGGACAGTAACGTCGTACAACGCCTGATTTTGAACTGTCTCAAGAAAGACATGACAGTTTCTGAAACCAAGGATCCACGAATCCGAGGGTGACGACGAGAGCTATTGGCTGTATCGTACGAGGATGGAAGCTGAAGTTCTTCGGCAAAGGCATCGCCAGCATCGACACCTTCCTATCTAAGCTCGACAACCTAAGGAATGATGCCAGTTTATTAAAGTGTGAAATGTTGGTATCCGTCGCGGAAGTGTTGTCTGGCCCAGTCTTGATATAGTTTGAAGCCATAAAAGATGAATTACAGACATTCGCCGAGTTCGTGGCGGATGCGAGAGGATGATTCGGCACGAACGTCCAACAGCAACAAAAATTGAGGAGAAAAGTTCAGAGACGCTATCAAGGGTCAGACGAGCCCATTAATGTATTCATCGCTAATATGATGGGATAAATACGTCGCTTACATTCACCAATGGAGTACAAGAGGCAACTAGACCACCAACTTCCTCATGGAAATTCAAGGATTGGTACAGCGCTCGGGAGTATCAGTGGTGATAGAGCTCGATTCCCTGACGTCCGTGGTGCAACACACGCTGAATCAAAGGCGGTACCTGCTGTAAATGAAAAATCTTATACATATTTGAACATATTATCTTATCATGTTGATCCTATGGTCTTTCCGTTGATGATTCCAGCAGAAGATCTGGGTTGGAGTACGGGTTACAAACAAAAAGTTTATAATACTTACTTCAAAAATCATGATTTGGCTAATGATAATAAATTAACTATCGTATGTTACAGTATTATTCTCATAGGTTAGTGTACAGAGTAGATGGTAATTTTAATGCATTATTGTACGGGGGAAGATTAACGCAACAATTTTTTTTGCATGCTGCAGTCATGATCGAATCAAATAGAATAAATTATCTTCGAAATAATCAAAAATCAAAGTGTTATCAGGGTATATTAGATCACATAAAAAATACTACTTCTGATTCTTCAAAAAATTTTAAAGACCGATTAGGTAATATTAACATTTTCCATTTACATACGTTGGGAGTCCTCGGTATTACCAACAGTATTACCAAGATGCAATGCCTATAATACGAAAAGTAGGAAGGCCAGATTTATTCATAACTATAATATGTTATCTAAAGTGGAAAGAATTAGAAAAAATTTTTTTTTTATTTTCAAAGGATACTACCTGCAATGACATTCCAAAAATTACTGCAAGATTATTTTTCTTGAAATTTAAATCTTTACTTAGAGATATTAATGATAAATATATTTTTGGAAAAGTATTGAATAATTAAATTCCAAAAAAGAGGAAATATTTGATGAATTGACAAAATTTATAGATGGATGGTATTAAGTCCAATGGAAGCTGCATGGAGATTGCAGGGTTTTCCATTATGCGTGTGATGTTCGTATCACTTATAACATAATTAATAGTTCGTACTCTCATAGTCTTATCGCGTTAATGAGTAAGAATTCGTTTCTTTTCAGATTTACTCTAATTGTCAATATGAAATAAATCAATAAATCAAGTATATGTAAATAA